ATTTTTGCTACTCAAGAAAATTTCAACTTAAATCATCTTTTATTCTTAATTCCAAACTCTATTTCAGAATTTAATTCAGCATTAGAAAACGGATTAAATAGTGCTATGGTTGTTTGCATGATTCTTTCACGACTATCTTCTACTAATTTAATTAATAAATCTTCCCTTCAACAGTCATTAGTTAAATCATTACTTGTTGCTTCACGTCGTAGACTTTTTGCTTCATGTATTGATGCACTTGCAATTGCTTTTACCAAATGTTCAGTATTAGAAGATATTCCAGAATTATTTAATTCTCTTAATGCAACTGTTTTAAGAATAGTTAAAGAGTATGTTGATAATGGTTCTATTCTTTCAAGTAATCAAATAAGTCATTTAGTTTCATTTAAACCAATGAATTCATTTGAAGCCTATCAATACTTAAATTTACTTCAATCTCTTAATATTAAACTTCCACAACTAGATCAATTCCATTATTCTTTAAATGATGCATATACATTAAAATGTATAAAATTGATCACCAGATATCATGCAAATGACTCTAGTCAACTTATTCAACTCTTAAAATCAGACCAAATTATTGTAAGAGAATCTGCACTACTTCGATGTGAAGAGAATCCTAAAGGAGTAGACCCTCAACAATTCTTTGAATCAACACGTACATTATTATTTAAAGAAGCGCCACACGTATTCCATGTTCTAAAGGCAATGATTTCTGTAATAGATTATAACCAAAATATACCAATAAATCAATACATTAAAAATACATCTCAATTAATTAATCAACTCCATACACTTATTGAAAAAGAACCTTTACTTCATTCACTTTGTACAAGTATTCTTTTAAGACTTAATTGTGTTGACTGTTCACAAATTGATTCTATTTCATTAAATGAACATGAAATGCAATATTATTTCAAACACTTTTCAATAGACCAATCAGTGTTATCAATTATATCTCTTATATTAGAAGACACAGAAAAAGGTATTTGTATTACAAATGCTTTCAATAATGCATTCTTAACATCATATGATCCATATCATCTTCTTTATTATCTTTTAAATTTATTTATCTCTTCTTACTCAGACAACAGTAATAAAATGTCAATGACTGAACTATGTAATATTCTTTTTAATCCTTCTA